TCTGGAAAATTTAAGGGGTAGTTATATAATAATTTTGGACGATCTCGGGCAGTCGGATACTTATGACCGCTACTGTACAATTAGATGATAATGGATTTAGAGGAAACTTTGCAAATACATTAATATAGGTAATATATGAATATTCTGTACAAAATATTATAACTTTAACTAAGACAAATATTTGTTTCCTTTTACAATATTTTTTTAAAATTTATATACGTATATTTAATCATAAAATATTTTTAATATTTTCATTACAAGCTATAGGTTCATCTTTGAAAAGAAAAGACAAAAATAAAGCCAATATTATTATTCATTAGCTTCAATAAAAATGCTAGAAGTAAAATTAAGTCATCTTCCTTTAGGTTTTAATACTGCATATAAATCTAATTTATTTCATTATTATGATTTATTTAATTAATTTATTCCTTTATCTACAGATATTGTAATTCTAGCTTACAGTCACATATATTATAAACTTTATTATAATAACAATGGATTTAAATATCTATATTGCCTTTCATTTCTATAAAATGGTATAGATAAACATGTTTAGTCTGTATTAGAATGTTTACAATGATTCAATAAAGTACAAGTTGAAGTACCTGATGATGATATTCCTTGTAATGATAATGATGAAAATGAATTAGTAAGATGTATAAAATTTATATTGGAAGAAGCATTATAAAAATTTCAATCACAATAATACTTATAAATTGTAAAAATGTATAAATCATAAAAATTTAAAACAATAGGTTACAAATATAAAATAAATGACTAAAATTTTATAAAAAATATCTTTAATTTAATATTAAAATAAAATTAAGATCTTTGAAATGATTATTAAATGACACAGTTTAATTTATTAGAATTTTAATATATAAAAAATTTTAATATAGCCTAAATTTAATAACTATTCTCTAATAAGTTAAAGTTGATGTTAGATTCAATAATATTTTACCTTTCTCAATATTTAAATTTAGTTTAAATTTAATATGTAAATTTAATATGTAAGTTTAATAATCATAATAATATCACATGCTATTTATAAAAATTAATTACAAAATTTGTATTCGCAATACTCTTATTTTAAAAATATAATAATATTTCAAATAAAATAAAATACGTGAATTGCTCAAATTGAAATAATGGAAGACCAATTAATTAACTTATATTAAATTATACCAAGTAAAGCAAAAACAAAGGCAAAATATTAGTTAAAAATAAATGTTTAAAAGAATAAAATTAACAAAGGTCAGAAATAAAAAAATATTTTTAAAAATTAAAAGTATTATGTGGATCAATAGTAAAAATATACCCCATTTATTTTGATAAATACAAAAAAGAAAAAGATTTTTAAATAAATGACACTTTATTGGAAGTTATTTAAATCATATATAATTATCCAAGAACATCAACACATTATTCTTTTATAAGAAAAGATATTTTTGAGAAGAAATATAAATAATGTACACACACAATATTTGAATTATTAAAATTATAATTCATTATGAATAAAAATACATCTTCATTTTACTTGTATTTTTTTTCATTATACATATTAAAACAACTCATGGTTGTCATCCTGCTAATGATTCAAATGCAAAATATAGTATGTTAATTTTCTAATTTACTATTATTTCATAATTCTTCTGATAAAAAAATTGACAAGTTTTTTTTTAGAATGTGGTATAGTTATACAATTAACTCTTGTTATAACGAACTCTATATCCTAGATCTCAATTTCGCTATAAGGCTATAGTAAAGATTTTAAAAGATTTGATTGGCTAATTCGCTATAACAAGAGTATTTTTATTATATTTGTTCAAAAAATTCGTGATATCAAGAGTTCGCTATATTAAAAGTTGACTGTAAATGCCAATTTGTTACCAAATTCTATACTTAATATGACAATTCAATCTTCTGATATGCATAACAATTTGGAAATATCAGCAATAGGCCACTTTAGTATACATATTGATAATTATAGCGGTGGGTATAAATTTTTTGATAAGCCTGAATGGGTTAATAGTTGTAATTGTGAATATTGTGACTATATACTTCTGCAATATACATTCCAATCCCTATAAAAATTTGCATACGTTTTTTCATTATTATAAATAAGTTTTGTATACGTTTTTTGAAATTCCGTATCACATTTCCTT